TCCAGATGCAGCGTAACCGGGAGCGGGAGCGGGAACACCGCCTTCACCAGCTACCTGCTGAACCGAAAGAGTAGAGCAATGCTCCTACTCGCCGAATACAAAGAGGGATGTAACTACACCCACGTTACCAGCAGAGGGAGCAGGAGCGGGAGCGAGAGCACTGCCTTCACCTAGCTGGATTAACGAACAAGGCAGTTTTAGCGTCTGCCAGGAGCAGGTGCGAGAGCACTGCCTTCACTGGATAAGTTTGAGACGAATGCCAGATGCAGCGTAACCGGGAGCGGGGTGCGAGAACACAGCCATCACCAGTTACCTGCTGAACGGAAAGAGTAGAGCAATGCTCCTACTCGCCGAACACGAGAGGGGTGTAATGTCCTACACCCACGTTACTAGCAGAGGGAGCGGGGAGCGAGAGCACTGCCTTCACCTAGCTGAGTAAATGAAAGTGCAAGGCTACTAGCAGAGGGAGCGGGGAGCGAGAGCACTGCCTTCACCTAGCTGGATTAAATAAGAAGTTCAACAGGACAGTTTAGCCGGGCGGCTGCTGCTAGAATCAAGTACACGTCTACCAGGAGCGGGGGCGAGAACACTGCCTTCACTGGTTGAGTCAGAGACAAATGCCAGATGCAGCGTAACCGGGAGCGGGTGCGGTAACACAGCCTTCACCGGCTACCTGCTGAACGGAAAGAGTAGAGCAATGCTCCTACTCGCCGAACACAGAGGGGGATGTGAATGACCTACACCCACGTTACTAGCAGAGGGAGCGGGAGCGAGAGCACTGCCTACACCTAGCTAGATTAAACGAAGAAGCTTAACAGGGCAGCTTAGCCAGGCAGCTGCTGCTAAGAATCAAGCAGCACGCCGAACACGCCAGATGTTAGCCAAGTGGCCGCTGCTAATAGCCAGAGTGATACGTTACAGGGCAACGTTACCGGGAGCGGGAGCGGGAGCACTGCCTTCACCAGCTCTGAGTTAAATAATGAAGCTAAACGGTCCATGCAAGGTGTTAGTCAAGTGGCTGCTGCTAACAATCAAGCGAAATCAAGTCAAAAAACACAATGTTTAAGACCAGATAACTAGCTTCCAAAGAAGAGAACAGCACAGAGCTGTAGTTACAGTAGTAACCATGGCCAGCCTACACGGCGTATAACCGTAGTTACAGTAGTAACCATGGCCAGTACCTATGCGGCTTAGAACCGTAGTTACAGTAGTAACTATGGCCAGTACTTACGCGGCTTAGAACCGTAGTTACAGTAGTAACTATGGCCAGTACTTACGCGGCTTAGAACTGTAGTTACAGTAGTAACTATGGCCAGTATTTACGCGGCGTAGACCCGTAGCTACAGTAGTAACTATGGCCAGTACTTACGCGGCTTAGAACCGTAGTTACAGTAGTAACTATGGCCAGTATTTACAAGGCGTAGACCCGTAGTTACAGTAGTAACTATGGCCAATACTTAAACGGCTTAGAACCGTAGCTACAGTAGTAACTATGGCAAAAGTAACCGTGGCCGGTGAATGGCCACACATGCGGGCACACAGCACACACAGTGAAGGTTGTTCTCCGCATCTACCCATCCTAGTGCTAGGAGACTAGCACTAGGAGTGGTAAATACAACAATATAGCGCTACTGCAGTCGCTGAGAATGAAGCTAATTAGCTTCTAAGGAATAGAACAGCTCGCAAGAACCATAGGCCATGGTTACAGCAGTAACCATGCCGTAGTTGCATGGCCTAGGACCGTAGTTACAGTAGTAACTCTGGCCAGAACTTACCTTACTCTCTGCACCTAACAAAAAACAGGCAAATTATGTCACTGTGGGCTTTCCATACAAATTAAATGAGAGACGCAGCGAAAGCTGGGAACTCAAATGCTAAAGATAGCTCGGGCACAACGCCACAAGCAGAACTTTCAAAAGAGCATCATAAGGGCAACTTTATGGGAGAGGAGGCGAGAACACTGTCGTCACCAGAAAGTAGCCCGACAATAACAAGACGGCAATCAGGACAACTTAGCTGGGAGAGGGTGCAGGAACACAGCCATCACCACAAGTTGACACAAACCTGTCCGTCGAGGCTCTGCACGGCGCACAGCCGGCCACAGCTCCTGGAGGACGCGTTAACAACCCGTAGCTCTGACTATCAGTCGCGAAGCTGCACGCGGCCAGCTGTATGCAGAGAAATCCCTCAGATCAAACGTTCAAACCTGAACGCTGTAGGCTGCAAGAATGCAGCCACCGTACTCTCGCGCAGCGAGAAGATGAAAGGATCCTCTGATGACACCGGCTGATATAGCCGGTGTCACGTGGTTCACAGGTGACTTTGTTGATATTGGTACTCGTACTGCGCATGCGCACGATGGACATATCCAGTGCTAAAAGCACCGCCTCTGGCGGTCAGTAGGGACGAAATAGAACCCTCCTTACATTATGGAATCCCTGAGGATTTTTAACAACGCCGTTTTGATCTCCGTGTATCATCTGTGGCAGGAACCTCTCCAGTCCCATAGCCAATGATCTTTGCGTCAGAGTTCAAAATAGGAATTGGTCTGTTTGAGCCACATTCGGATGATGATTTACCTGGCTTTAAAATAAGAGTTATTGTCAAGTTTCCTGGTCTTTTTGTGTATATTCCCCAACAGAGGTATTCAATGAAATTAAACAAGACTTCACTATCAATGCTTTTAAAATCAAATGAATTCTTTATAACAAGACATTAATTATTTATAAACAAGAAAGCTTCTTTCCTCCTTTAACAGAGGTATTCAATGAATAAGACTTCACTATTAACGCTTCTACTAAATTAAATGAATTCTTTTAACAAGAAAGATTATTTCCTCCCCTTTTTTTAGCAGGAATCTTCAGTGGAATAAATTAACAGGATTGTATTAGAAAGGTTTTTAGTAAATCAAAATTTCTACTTTCTAAGATAAATAAACAGCGCGTCTAAGCTCTGAATGTGCCGCACAATTAACGCACCACATTGAAACCACACATATAACAATGCTGCGCAGAGCTCTAACAAGACACGTGCATATAAACTATAAACAATGCTGCACAGAGTTCTAACAAAACACGTGGCACACACACAAACAATTTAACAGAACATTCACTAGCGGCTCTGTGGAGCTCTCACAGCATGATGGATGTGATCTTACCGGCTGCCTGTCCTGACTCGGTAGAAATGCCTCCCGTCTACACGCTTTCGTCTACCAGGATCTCACACACCAACTGTTTAAAATCCTTCTTGAGGATGCAGTACTGGGCTCTGTAATTAGAGTGATTACACCCAGCTTGCCAGAGGAGGCAGGCAGCGATCATTTACACACTGGGTCTTCCCTATTAATTGGTGGTTTGTATTTAAATGAAACATGTTTGTAGCGCTTATGATTTAAATTCTGAATAAAGTTAAGATATTTCGTTATTCTATGTATCCATATATTATTTTTCGACTACTTGAAATCTGTTTTTTATTTTATATTTTTAAAAGCCTTAGGCTCTGTTTGACTTTACAGTTATTAAGGCACTTTGTAGCGAAGGGGGAGGCTGCCCTGCTCGAATGATTCCATGCATACATGTATAACAATGGGGCTATCAATTTTGCATTGAAAAATGTATACATGTAAATTGGGATCCCGTCAGGTCCTGAGGCCTTACCACCTTTCATGTTAAGAATGGCATTGGAAATATCTTCAAAGTTCAGTTCCCTATTCATTGCAAGTTTTGTTTCTACAGAAATATTGGGAAAAGACAGCCCATCTAGGAAAGTGTTTTGACTTACCGAATTCAATGGATAATCAGATAAAGCCTCTTATAGAACGAAACAAAGGCCTGATTTAATTTCCAATGGATCTGTAGTTATTAACGTAATGTAGCTTTCGGTTTGGGCAAACTGCGTGCGCATCACTCTCAATCTTCAATGATAATGTTTAGGTGGATTTTAGGAACTTCCCCTCAATTATATTGGCTCTAACGGTTAAAAAGAGGTTTCAATCACCAAAATTGACCGATGGGCTCCAGAGATACGGCAAATACACCCAGAAGTGTTTTTTTTCTTTCTCAACCTCTCTAAAAAGTTCAAATTTCACTTGTTTTGCATCAATCTTGATACAGGGTACTTATTATGTTATAGTTTGGATTCCTAAAGCTTTTAGTCTACTACCCCATCATTCAAGTGTGGTTTTCACTATAAGTAATGTTGTTTTTTTGACGAAAATATAATTTAATTCTTTTTACTATTTTAAATCTGAATTTACTTTAAAATAAAATCATCTATATCGATTCTGACACTTCTACATCTAACTCACAGGTGTATCATTGCTTTGAGAAAAAAGATTATTAATGTACCCCTTTTAGAAGTGAAGATATAGTCATTTGTTCTGGGCTTGTCATTTTCGAGCCTGAGGCCTGAAAAACAGGCTCAGGGCTTAACAGGTTAAACAAATAGCTCTACATCCCTTGCTGAAATGTCCCTAAAATGAAGTCCGAGTTCGAAATATATTTCAAATAATGTATGCACTGCCATTTCCCCACATACACATCACAGTCTGCAATGAAACGGTTGTCTTCTGTGCGCTCCACTTCTTACTTGGTGCACCGGGAACTTTCTTGTGCGAACAAGATACTTTCTCTCTCATTTATTCATTGCCCTTTTAGGGGCTTCGTACAATACAATACAAATGCTAATATTTTATCCTTTCGAGTCATCTGTCTCAAGCCTAAGTCAAGTCTGAAGTCATGAATACCAAGTCAAAGTCAAGTCGAGTCTTTTATCAATGTTAGTCAAGCAAGTCTCAAGTCAAAACATTTGTGACTCGAGTCCCCTACCTCTGTTATATTCGGTTAGAATGTTGCTGTATTACTGTATCAAATATAATACAAATATAATAAACACAAACAGTAACTGAAAGTTTGTATTAAGTGAGTTTTTATTGTGTTAACTGTATATGTATTTATGATTTTTAGATTTACTTTCTCTCTTTCTCTGTCCGTCTGTTTTAGAAACCGAAAGGAAAAGAGAGACGTCACAGCTGTCAGCAATGTGATGAATCCTTTACAACATCTGGAAATTTAAAACGCCACCTGCTTATTCATACTGGAGAAAAACCGTACAGCTGTGAAGAGTGTGGGCAAACGTTCTCACAGTCAGGTCATCTCAAAATGCATCAACGTATTCACACTGGAGAAAAACCATACAGCTGTGAAGAGTGTGGGAAAACGTTCACTAGATCAGGTTATCTCAAAAAACATCACCGTATTCACTTGGGAGAAAAAACGTACAGCTGTGAAGAGTGTGGCCAAACGTTCACTAGATCAAGTGATCTCAAAAAACATCACCGTATTCACTTGGGAGAAAAAACGTACAGCTGTGAAGAGTGTGGGAAAACGTTCACTAGATCACATCATCTCAAAACACATCAACGTATTCACACTGGAGAGAAACCGTACAGCTGTAAAGAGTGTGGGCAAACGTTCACTCAATCAAGTAATCTCCAAACACATCAACGTATTCACACTGGAGGAAAATCATACAGCTGTGAAGAGTGTGGGCAAACATTCACAACATCACATGCTCTCAAAACACATCAGCCTTGTCACACTGGAGAAAAAACATACATCTCTGAAGAGTGTGGGAAAACATTCACAACATCAGGTGCTCTCAAAACACATCATCATGGTCACACTGGAGAAAAACGATACAGCTGTCAAGAGTGTGGGCAAACATTCTCGACATTGTATTATCTTAAATCACATCACCGTATTCACACGGGAGAGGAACCGCATAGCTGTGAAGAGTGTTGCAAAACGTTCGCAACATCACGTTCTCTCATAACCCATCAACGTATTCACACAGGAGAGAAACCGTACAGCTGTGAAGTGTGTGGGCAAACGTTCACTACATCAGGTCCTTTCATATCACATAAACGTATTCACACTGGAGAAAACCCGTACAGCTGTGAAGAGTGTGGGCTATCGTTCACTCAATCAGGTCATCTCAAAATCCATCTACGTATTCACACAGGAGAGAAACCTTACAGCTGTGAAGAGTGTGGGCAAACGTTCACTCAATCAGTTCATCTCAAAACACATCAACGTATTCACACAGGAGAAAAACCTTACAGCTGTGAAGAGTGTGGGAAAACGTTCACTCAATCAGGTTCTCTCCAAATACATCAACGTATTCACACTAGAGCGAAACAGTACAGCTGTGAAGAGTGTGGGCTAACGTTCACAACATCAGGTGCTCTCAAAACACATCAACGTGTTCACACTGGAGAGATACCGTACTGGTGTGAAGAGATGCCGTTTTCTCCCTAACCCAGTGGTTCTCAAGCTTTTTCCGTCAGGAGAAGAAAAAAAAAGTCGGGCCCCCCCAACACAAATAGTCACGTAATGGGCCAAGTTAACATTTATTAAAATACATCAATATTAACGTTCACTTTGTTGGAACAGTGATAGTAAAACAATTCTCCAGAAGTCTGTGTGCTCAAAAAAAAAAATACATAATATAATTGTGCAATCCTTTTGCTAGAACAATAAATTATAATACTTTGCCACTTTGCAATCTGTGCTAAAAAATGTAAAGAAAGAAGATGCTGATATTTGGCAGTAAAGTGCGTCTTATCACAGCATTAAGGAAGAGTTCATTCAGCCAATCTTCTTTTTCTTTTAAAGCTGCACAACAGTGGAACTCAATCCCAGTAAAGATTAGAGAACAAAACACCTGCAGTTTATTTAAATCTAACTTAAAAACATGGTTAGTGGAAAATCAGCTCTGTCAACACTGACACAATCTGCACTTTACAACGCTCTGTTTGTACATGTGCCTTGACCTGTTGCTATCTGTCTGCTTTGTGAATATGTATTTTAGTTGAGTTTTTATGTTTTTATATATGCTTTTATCATAATATAAGCATCTATGTTGAATGTTGTTTTACTGATTGTATTTACCTGTCACTTGAAGTGAATCTTTTTTTTAAGGATGACTTTCAACATCTGTCCAGGGACTGCAGATGAAAAATAGCCTGTTGGCTAACTCTGGCACATTTACAGAAATGTCAATCAATGTGCACTGTCCCTGTCAAATAAATAAAAAAATAAATAAAATGAGCCTGTTTTGCACAGCACATTTCTTCAAAACAGGGTTTTAGGCTCAGTGGCGGCGCCAGAGATTTTCTTTTGGGGGTGCTGTGGGGTAGCTTGACGTTTCATAGAGGGTGCTCAAACATTTAGGGTTTCCCATTAATGTACCGGTCGCTACAGTTGAATTTTGTACTGCAACACTCCCCACGCACCAGAGTTCCCGTTAGCCGGTAATTACCGGACTATGACCGGTAAAATATGCTGAAGACCGGCAAATCTAAATCTCTCCGGTCAAAATGTCCGGTCAAAATAATTTCCCCTTAGCGCAATACCGCATCAGTTGCGCCACTTATGTGACAGACAAGAATAGTATGTGACAGACAAAAGAGTATATGAAACAGAACTGGAAGCAGATTTACTATTTCTTTATGGATATTTTACTAATCACTCTCCTTTTAAACTATTCTTGTTTTGCCGTCATAGTATTTCATAACTGTTTTTCATTTATTCTCTTATTTTTGTATACCTATAATGATCATATAAACGTGTGCCTCGGAAATAATTGTTTACATTAATCGTGACCAAACCGTTTGAGACCCACTGAGATAACTAATCTCAGTGAGTGATCTAAACACTGAGAGTCCTTTACCTCACTGAGCTGAGGTTATCTGAGCCTCTCAGTCTGACAGGTGAGAGTTCTCCCTCCACCTTGTTGTTGAAAAAGCTCCTTATATCCGTTAGCGTAGCTAGCTAGCACCAGATGCTAACAACAACAATCTCCGGTACCGGTGCACGCTCTCTCTCTCTCTCGTGCACACGCACAGAGCCGAGCTTGAATGAAACAGAGACCCAGACGTTCTTGTAATGTACTGTAGCATATTCTTTTTGAATCAATCATTTTTCAAATAATGAATTTCACAAATGAAAATAAAAAATACATACATTTCTTGGGGGTGCTATGGCTATCCTAGGGGGACCTGCAGCGCCCCCCTGACGCCGCCTATTGACTTCCATCCTCAAAATGTACATTACACACCTGTGTCCTACATCACCCTCATAGGTTTCCCTATGTTCCCCTGTTTAGTTAATAAAATGTTGTGACTTAAACTTTGATTGGGATGTTTTGATAGTTCCTGTTGAGTTGGCAGTCTGTTCTGGTATAAAAAAAAAATAACCAATGATGAATGTATCTAGAAAATGTGTGCGTCATATGATATGCCCCGCCTTACATCTTCCGCCACAGATTTGGGGAAATTGGTCCGTGCGCAAAGCATTGTGGGGATTTTAAGACCGCGGAGTCTACTCATGTGGAGCCTCGATATTTCTCCAAACGGAGTACGCCGGGCTCGGTAGATTTCCAAGTATGCTGGAGATTGGAACAGTACTTCGGCGGCACTCGATGACGTAGTATGCTTGAAATAGTGGCTCTGAAGCAGCTTTACTCGCGATTGAGAAACACCCACAGACCGGATCCTTCTTTGGCTTGTTTAATAATCACATTAGCCCGTTGTCATTTCCCCTCCTGTCTGCATCACATCTGATCCGAGTGACTGGAGGGTGATCCTCTGATTGACCATTAAAACCGTAAGCTGTCTCGGTCTATTGTTGACAGTTTTCTGCTCCTCTGCTGCTTAGCAACAAACATAAATCACTTTTGGTGATGTCATCATTAAAACATTCATGTATAAAAGACGTACAAAAGTGCATTTTGCATGATAAGTCCCCTTTAAATAATCTCTCACCCAGTCTAATCCCACCCCTCTGATGCCATACCGTTCCAGTTTTATCAGTAAAATATTGTGATCTATGGTGTCAAATGCTTTTTGTAAGTCTATAAATATTTCCACTGCTTGTTTTTTATTGTCCATGCAGTTTGCTATTTCCTCACTTAATTCCATTAGTGCCATAGATGTTGATCTGTCTTTCCTGAATCCATATTGACTGTCGTCCAAAAGCTGATGTGTTTCCATGAAACTGTCAAGTCTTTTTGTAAAAAGCTTTTCAAGGATCTTGGAAGACTGAGAGAGCAATGAAACAGGTCTATAATTTGTGTAATGGTGTTTATCCCCAGTTTTATTTCATGGTATAACTTTTGTTATTTTCATTTTATTTGGGAATTTACCAGATTGAAAAGACAAGTTAAAGAGATGAGTCAATAGCCGCGTTCACACCGGAGTACTTTTCACCGTACTTTTCGCGTTTAGTTCCGTTAGTACCCCTTATGTCGCGTTCACACCAAAAAGAGTACTTAATCTCGGGAACTTTTACCCCCATTGTTAGTGCCTGCTGAGAGATCGTACTTTCCTGGGGGGAAAAAGTGCCCCAGTTCTGATTGGCTGGGCGAATTGCAAACCACGCCCCGTACCAACACACTCTCACTCCCTAAGCGTCCAGGAGCGATGCTTGGTCAGGGTCCCGTGGCGTCTAGTTGTGACGCGCCGAGGCTCCTTCAGCTTCATAAACGGACGCAAAGAGCTTTCAACTGATTGCAATGTATTCCCATCGGCGTCGGTATTTGACGCTTAGGGAAGCACGGCATTCGTTTGTGTCGGAGGCTGTTAAAGGCAATGTGAGCGTCCATTCCCATTGGATAACGGAGAATTGTACACCCGGAAGTAAGTATTCCCCTTACTGTCGATTGATTTGACAGTGATATCTCCACTACTCATCAACTCAAAAACACCAGATTATCTTGTTAATTAAACGACATTGATAGGTTTTAGTGTGTGTACAATGCTTTTGTCACGTTTTCCCCTTCAATTCTGAGAAACAAGTCGTTTTCTATGAGTTTTGGATGGCCGAAGACATTACATTACCCACAATCCTCTGTAGCAACCATAGACTGTATAAACAAATTAAATAATACATTATTCCGAGTGTGCTTGCTTTTCTCTTTGAAAGTCATCACATAACGGCATTGTAATACACGTTTCGGCTGCATTAAATATGACATATCTGCCGTAGTTAACTCTATTTATAGAGCCCTGATGACAAGACTTCTAGACAAACAGGAACTGCCGCCAAAACTGAAAACTTGACATGGATCTTAAATATATAAGCAATTAAACATCTTAGATTTCTTTTCACACAATACGTCTCCTTGCAGTATCAACACTAATTCGGCTGACTTTTATATTTGATCCAATTGGTAGATAGGCTGTATTTACGCCATAACGGTGCACAGCTGATAGAAAGGGACACCTACTGGTTAAAGCACATTATTGCATTTTATAATTGTATTATTAGATATTAATAGGAGGATGTGCAAAACAGACAAACTAATAAGGCTTTATTTAAACATTAAAGAATACTTTAGGTTAAGGTCTTCTTTTGAATAAGAAAAAAGCTTTGGGGGTATAGAAGATGAATATGGAGGGATGAAACCCTCTTTGATGGTCCCACATGCAGAGCACACAGCACACACAGTGAAATTTGTATCTACAGATAAATATTAAGCCTGACAAAGTACTTAACGTCTAATATATTGCTTTCCTGCAATGTTAACTATGTTTAAGCACTTATTTTAACTGATATTATACATATGTATTATACTCTTATAAGATGTATGTAGATAGTATTAAATGTGCAGAATATGACAGTTTAATGGTGGAGGTACACACATATTGATAGATGTCTTGTAATGCGCTGTTGAGGAACCTGCGACCCAGGTTTTTCATTCATTGTATAACCACCGTAGTTGTGTATAATATGATATGTCAATAAACCTTAGAAAATCTTGAAATCTTGAAAGGGATGTGCAAAATAGTCATTATATACAGTCTTTAATGTCAATAAACCTTAGAAAATCTTGAAATCTTGAATGGGATGTGCAAAATAGTCATTATATACAGTCTTTAATTAACTATTAGTAGAGAATAACGACGAGTAAAGAATATACTTTATAGGGATCCTATTAATATCTAATAATACAATTATAAAATGCAATAACGTGCTTTAACCAGTAGGTGTCCCTTTCTATCAGCTGTGCACCGTTATGGCGTAAATACAGCCTCTCTACCAATTGGATCAAATATAAAAGTCAGCCGAATTAGTGTTGATACTGCAAGGAGACGTATTGTGTGAAAAGAAATGTAAGATGTTGTTTAATTGCTTATATATTTAAGATCCACGTCAAGTTTTCAGTTTTGGCGGCAGTTCCTGTTTGTCTAGAAGTCTTGTCATCAGGGCAGAGTTAACTACGGCAGATATGTCATATTTAATGCAGCCGAAACGTGTATTACAATGCCGTTATGTGATGACTTTCAAAGAGAAAAGCAAGCACACTCGGAATAATGTATTATTTAATTGTTTTATACTATGGTTGCTACAGAGGATTGTGGGTAATGTAATGTCTTCGGCCATCCAAAACTCATAGAAAACTACTTGTTTCTCAGAATTGAAGGGGAAAACGTGACAAAAGCATTGTACACACACTAAAACCTATCAATGTCGTTTAATTAACAAGGATAATCTGGTGTTTTTGAGTTGATAAGTAGTGGAGATATCACTGTCAAATCAATCGACAATAAGGGGAATACTTACTTCCGGGTGTACAATTCTCCGTTATCCAATGGGAATGGACGCTCACATTGCCTTTAACAGCCTCCGACACAAACGACTGCCGTGCTTCCCTAAGCGTCAAATACCGACGCCGGTGGGAATACATTGCAATCAGTTGAAAGCTCTTTGCGTCCGTTTATGAAGCTGAAGGAGCCTCGGAGCGTCCCAACTGCACGCCTCGGGACCCTGACCAAGCGTCGCTCCTGGACGCTTAGGGAGTGAGAGTGTGTTGTTAATGAAAGTCTGGCCTCTGGCTCTATTCCGATGTCCTGCAGGAGAGCGGTGATCACGCTGCTACACACTCTCACTCCCTAAGCGTCCAGGAGCGACGCTTGGTCAGGGTCCCGAGGCGTGCAGTTGGGACGCTCCTAGGCTCCTTCAGCTTCATAAACAGA